TGGCTGGAAGTGAATCAATGCTTTAGATCCTGTCAATAAAATATGACTGATATATTTACCAAAACTTTATTTAAAGCAAGGTCTCTGCCATGATAAGTTGATTTTGTTAAGCATTTTCACAAACATTTAAAACAATAAAATCACAACGAATGGAACGAATCATGGCGGCATCTAAGAAACAATGAATGTCAAATATCTTTTGTCCCGCAATTTCAGAGATCTTCACAGAGAGCACAGAATGAATGTTGGACGAAATTAAGGCAATTGTCAAATCAAGATCATTAGTTAGGATATCCTAAAACATAAATGTTGAGTCCCCAGTACTTACTACACGCATGCCAAATTTCGTTATTTTTGGTATTGAAATGGTCACAAATAGCTTTTTAATGTGGTTTCCGTGACGGTTACCTATCCTATTGATAAAAAGCATTTTTAGTTGGAACAAAAATATTAGGTTTCAGTTTCGACGACAGGTGACGTAATAATCGTATTGAGGACCAAGGGCCCTTTTCACATAGCGATATTAGACCTTCAATCGCCTTACGTATAAGGGTCCCAGGAACTTTAGCTGTCATTCTAAATTTTCTCAATTATCAGGAAATACAAAATGTCATTCTCGATTATCCCACGAAACAAAGTCCATTGTGCGTACAACCAAAATAGCTTTGACAATTGTATGATCAGTGTTAGTATGGATCACTGACAAGTAAAGACATTGAGGAATACTATGTTTTGCCCAAGCACAAATGACACATTATTGGTACCAAAACACATTTTTGATATTCAGAATGAATTAACCAAAATCTAAAAAACCTGATCTGATTAAAACTTCTTTATTATTATAATCCATAACACTTACACACGAGATTGGAGATAGTTCCACATTTCTTCACGCCACCGTTAAACTGCAGGTAGTCATATCTGCAGGAGGAATGACTCTCCAGCTGGAAGGTTGTGAAGGTGAAGGTAATGGTTCTCGGGTAGGATGTCGCTGTGAAGGTGTAGTAGCACCGGATGTTGTCCAAGTAGTTGCTGCCGTCACCCGGAGCGCTCATGATGCTGCCAGATAATGATGACAAGGTAGCCGTGCATGTCGCTGGAACAACAAATAACTATGTGAAGAATGAATAAAATATTTACTGATATTTACTTAATACGCAGGTGTTAAGTTGCATGCAAGGATTATGAAGCATCATTGTATTATTGAAGAATGAACTTACCTGTACTGCCGGGAGTGGGCGTGGTGGCGTTCACAGCTGAAATACATAATGCCTTGTATCAGAATGTGTGCCCATCATCCTGTTCAAATAATCATTCTGTCACGATCACACAGTTTCCCACGAGTTCTCGTACCTGAGATATTTCGAGAGTTGACTGTACGTCTTGATCAAACTATTTATACGACATAGTGGAGTAAGAACGTTGAGTGAAGCCATGAACTCTTTACACCAGGTAGAGCCTCTGTACATACCGTTCTGGTGTCCCCCGCCGTGATATTGCTGGAATATTGCTAAAAGCGGCGTAAAACCATACTCACTCACTCACTCACTCTGTACATACCGTCACTAACAACGTAGTTGGCCACAAATCCACTGTAGGTGACACTTCCATCTGTACGGAATTCCACCGTAAAGTTCCCAACAAATGTATCTGTAAAATATCAACAATATGTATATGAGCCAAGTACTCATATGGTGCATATATACGATGACAGTAATTAATCTTTGAAACACTCTTGCTAAATTTGTTGACTAAAAACAGATCATCAATAAAATATATTTATGACTTAAAATGTCAAAAGCCATGACGACTAGTGCGAAGCAGAATAGAGCCTTAAAACTGATTGACGCTACCTCTAAAGTAGCGACAACCCCCACTGTCTGTCTGCTCGTCACAATACGTACATGTACTGCTGAATTCCGTGAAGCCACACCTCTTGTTCCCGCCACTGATGATGACCCAATCCCATCTACAGCTGGCATGGTTTTCCACAGCAAAGCTGGTGAAATCCAGTGTTATAGACTGGGTCTGTCCACTTCCCACAAACGTGTAGCGGCAGTAGATGTTGTTGGGGTAGTGGTAGGGGGAGTTTGGACTACGAAGCTGGCCGTTGGATGCGGTGAACGTCTCATTACAGTTGGCTGAGATACAGAGAGACAATTGTACATCATGAAGAGCACCAGATACCGTTACACGTTTGCCATTAGCGTATGATACACATAACGAAGGCACATATCGACTATGCTACAAAAGGTACGGGATACTGAGAACCATCAAGACATTTCTTCTGATCTACATGGAATTGGCAAATAGAAATGATATGAACATATCTGCTTGGGAGTAGGCGATCAGATCTAATGTGTTCTAATGGTTGGCGCACAAGGTCGTTAAATTGACACTGGTTCAAATGACGTGCAGTAGGTTGCCATCTGTGCAGACGATTTCGCACGGTCTGGGCATGTACTCTTACACCAGTTGCCTGTTGCAACCAGTCCTTTATCTTAGTGGCAGTTTGCAACCAATTTATTCATGCCATCTAATTTTTAATCTGTCCTGAGCTGGAGTTTTAGCTCATCGACGTTATGTGTTTTTTGGTATCGGACCCACACTCTACCGATGACATGCAGCCAAGAGCCATGCAGCATTTGGGCAACAATATTCTGACACGTGGCAATCTACAACATGCCTATGACAAGTAAACGTTCAGCACATTGCAAACATCGAATAATAAATCCTGTTGCTTCTTTAATGATTAAATGTATTTTATCAACTGTCCCGGATCGTTTGGTTCCAAGAAAACGATATGCGTTTGCTCACCAGCGAGTGTGAGTGGCAATGGTCAGATTGACATACCACCTCTTCCACGTGCTGTCTGAGGTCACATGCTTCATGCATGTCACAATGTTGTGTTTGGGAGCTTGATTTCTTCGGAAATGCTCTTGCCACGTAAATTATTTACTTTCCTTGTCAGACATTAGTGTATTTTCCTGTAGTTTCCCCTCAAAACAAAATATCCCCGACTTTCTTTGCATAGTTTAGGAATTTAAGGAACATATAACATCCAAATATACCAACGTTTCTATGAAACTGCATGTTATATCTCAAGTGACGCACTGTAACTATCGCTATCACGGATCAACAAACTAAATGTCTCTAAGCACATCACACTATTGTTATCATGATTTTGTATTACGATGCAACTGCATCATTAACCGATGACATGAAGGGGAACGAGTGGCACAGTCGTCTAATGCATTGTTGTGCAGAGTTGCCTACTTTAGGCCGGCCAGAAACCTGTGATCCCGGGTTCGATTCCCGGTTCGCCCCGATTATGTTTCTAGGTTTGTACCCGTGCTCGAGGGTTTCACCAAAGTGGGAAACGTCTAAGACCTGCACCAGTTCGAGATATCCGACCATGTATAGCTGACACGCCGTGATATAACCAAAACACTGTTTTAAAAGACGGCCTTAAATCACCCCGCTGACTAGATGATACACCATCCATCGCTTAAATGAACATGAGGCGGACACGTGTTAGTCAACAAATACAAGCCTGTCACATGGTTACATAAGTCTACATGAGGATAGACTCTCCATGTTCGGGTGAATGGATATTGTTTGCATGTTTGCAGTGTTCCAACTATAGGAGTAGCTAATCCAGTCTGGACCACCAAACCAGTGGTCGGGAGTATGAGCAACGATATAACCAGCATATGGAAATGCTTCAATGCCATTTCAAACTCGTATACTGAAGTGTGTATCTTCAATGAACAAACATCGTCAGAATCAAGACCTGCCCAAGGGGAGTGGACGGTGTGTCACATGTAAAGGGTAATGTCATGCATACGTACGTGTTGGCGGTGCTGTTGTTGTTGTAGTTGTTGTGCTAGTTGTGGGAACATCTGAAAAGACATAACGAGAGAGGCATGATCACATTTTGTAATTTCTAATGTTCAAGGAGTCTGGGTGTTGGTAGCCGCATCGACATCATCACATTTCAACCTACATGCATGAGTTCAGTATCAAATAGGACTACTTCACACTATCGGTGTCCTACCTTTAATATGCCTACAACCACAACATTCTTTTCCATTGTTATTGACAGACCTGTGGCTTTGAGAGGAATATATTAAATTTGTATGGTTGAGATATTAATGGTGTTGAAATAAATATGCACTGAATGACAGAAAATGAGATCAGAAGATAAATTTGCGGGGAGAAAAGGCCGAGTTGTAGATGGATGAGGCGGGCACAACGCCTAAAGGGAGATAACTCCTGTGGTGTTAGTATAGTGCAGCTTCCAAATAAATCAGCTTCCCGCTGTATCCGAATCAGTCGAGCTTACCACTCTCTCTGCTAGACCCTGAGCAGACAAGAGTTTATTAAGGCTATGCCATAGCATCCACCCGCTGACGATCTGCAGGCTGGATAAATGGGCCCCGCTGTGTAGCAGGCAACCAGCGTAACAGCGCTACCATTGCGGGTTTTGCCCGATGATATGGATAGTGTGTGAGAGTGAAGGATTTGACGTAGTGAGATCTGTGACGTGGTAGTGCGCGTAGCGGTTGGCGGAGTTAGAATGTTAACATAGATAGATGTAAGGCAGAATAAATATCATAGTTTAAGAATTGGTGTTTGCATGACAATAACCGCATTTAGCTGTTTAGGGCTAAATGTAATTATATTTAACCTCTGGATGAATACAATTATCCTCAAGTCCAATAAACTTCTGAAATACCACTGGACATCTTTAAAACTCCATCGAATGCAGTTTCTGCCAAAGTGGTAAACGTCTGAGACCTGCATCACTTCGGACTTTCCTCCCACATTTAGCTGACACGCCGCGATATAACTGGAGTACTGTTAAAAGCGGTCTTAAACCCAACTCACTCACTCACTCATTCATTATATGTACGTCATATTTCGCGATCTACTAGTGCAAATGTTAGTTTACCTCAGTGTGTTCCCTAGAGATATCTGGCAAACACTTACATGGCACCGTCCTGTAATTAATGGAGAATCCTCTCCTAGTAACGCTGTAGTCTGTCTTGAAGTATAAGGTGAAGGTGTTCGTGAATGAATCTGTGGACGAAACATTAGCGCGACCATGAACTAAATGAATACTGAATACAGACAGTAAGCAAATAACGAACGCCATTTACAGCACATTCATGTATTAAATCAGCGTGCTACATGTGGACTGTATCAACGATGATACGAATTTTATAAGACAACGAGGTTTGACTTTCGTATACACATGCATCAGATTATTCGTACAGTAGGCGTTGTTAGGGTAGTAGGAGCCATCTCCAGGGGTGCTCTCTATAGTGCCCTCGTCGGCCGTGTGGGTCAGGTTACAGCTGACTAGACACATGCAGAACATTGACAGCAAATACAGCGTAAGGGAATTGTGATGAATGATATAAAATGTATATATCACATAACATCTGTTATTGTTCAAAGTTTCATAGAATGGTTTTTGTGTGAGTTTCTGAAGAAATGTGACAAAGAAATTTCTCAACAACAAGTAAACTACAACCGTGCTTAGAGTTACTTCAAATTGGCAAAATATGCAAACCTAAAACCTAAAAATTATTTTACTTACTGAAAGGGGTTGTGGTCCTGTAATACCACGGAGTGGTTGCAGTCCGGTTCAGCCCTTGTGAAAATAAGAGAGGTATTTGTACACTCATCCTACATTTGTACATAACGTGTCTTGTGTCAGAGCATTAGTTAATGCAAGTTCTATTGAATAAAAGTAAACACACAATTCCAGTATGACTTCTCATGCATTTAATTATACATTCAATGTTACTTACAAGGATTATAGCTTGTAGAGTTCCGATAAGAACTACCAGTCGTTGGTGTTGGATCTTAAACAGTAAAAGGAAATATAATCAATGCATTTTCCAACTAGAAAACTGCGTTATCTCTATTCCCCGCAATGGGTCACATTACACTTTTGATTGTTCATATTGTAGTGAAAATAAATTATAACACAGAGTCCTATAAAGCCTTAAAAAGGGATATGCACTTGGGCAGCTTGAGGTAATCAGAAAACGTAATTAAATGTGAAATTAATATACACAAAAGGTCCCTTCCTTGGAAAAATCCCTCAGTCTTGATAAGTATCTCATTGGTGAGCTGACGTCAGTAGTATCTGCGAAAACGTGTCCCTATTGCACACACTATGCACTTAGTCAAATAACATGGATCAAGGGAACTAACTCTGTAAATATATTATTGACGGGACCAATTTTCGAACTCAGTCTTGAAAAGTATCTCTTAGATAAACATGCAAACTTTCACTCACTCACTCACTCACTCACTCACTCACTCATTTACTCACTCACTCACTCAGTAGTTTCTGCGAAAACGTGTCCCCATTTCAAACAGTATGCACTAAGTTGAAAAGAACGGAACAAGAGCTATAAGTCTGTAAAAACATGAATTTACAACACCAATTTTCAAACTCGTTTTAGACCATGACCAATGACATCAGTCTGTATTATTTCATTTCTCTGACTTATATAGTTTTTGATAAACTGTGTCCCCTTTGAGAAGAGGAAGGACGGACAAAAGGGCGGAAGGACTGAAGGACGAATTCCGTTCCTTTATTCGCTAACAACACTTCTTGGCGGGGATAAAAACGGTAAATGTAACCTGGCGAGGGTTAAGGTTATCAGAAGATAGGATAACACTCGTCCCAATTTGTTTCCGAACACATTAGCAAGAAAATCAAGGAGTCAGTACACTGTGTCGGAGTTTCAGTAATCATTTTAAACTGTGCCATGGTACTGGATAACTGGAACTTTACAACTAGCATTAGTTCGATCTGGTACAAGCAAAGGTTAAACCCAATTTCACCTTACCTTACACCTAGGTTTGGTTGTATGTGTTTTATGTCGTGTGTCGTAGCATCATTTGAGAGCTGCAGCTTGCTTTGATAAACAGTTCACAATACACTTTGTTCGTGGAGACGAAATATGTTTGTGAAAGTACTCACTCAATAATACAAATAACTTAATAGCTTCAAGCGAAAGTATGAGTGTGGTCAGCCATCCTGAATGAGCTGAGCAGCTATGTCACTTCTCATTATTACTGTTGTCATTATTGCTGTGGATTTCTCCGTGTTAGATTACCATTGATATGTAGGCCTTGGCCCAGAGACGAAAAAAAGAAGGTTTTACCCTTAGCGTAGATAGGGTTAGGCCACGTGCTCCGATGCACCAACACATCAACCAATACCAATATATGCCCACCTTGCACAGCGTCTTGTATATCTACCGTCATACGGTAAATGCTTGACAAGTAAATACTGCAAGCTGAATACTTGGTGTTCCCCCCGAGAACCGTACCCCGAACCCTTGCATATACGGATATGGATTTGTCACAAAGTGCCAAGGAGAGGTTTATGTTTTGATAGTTTATGAAATCTGTGAAATCTAGTTATATATTGTCTGGGTCGTGGGTTTTTCTTCTTTCAAAGTTTTCTTCCAGATAAATATATAGCTGTAAAGAATAGACTACTTACTTTCTCGAATCCTAAATGCTGCAAGAAAACCAGGATGATGAACTGAACCGTCAGAGTGGAAGTATATCTTGAAGTCCGTCTCCAGGGATGTAACTGAAAACAATCAATTAGGTTATTTATAAAGTATGTCTTTTCCTATTCGACATATTCTATGATATTCTAACTATCTACACACAAACTACGAAAAACCACATATAATCGAGCATGCTGTGCACACACGGGTATCAAGACTGTGTTGCGCAGGCCTTCATGAATCACCGCCTCGTCTTTCTCAGGTACATCTACACACCACTACACAGTGGTTATCATTAGCGATACGTGGTCTTAATGAACCCTGGCCTATCCGTGTTAATACTGACACGTGATGGGAAGTGTTTATAGTTTATACATCTGTTTCTTGCATGTCATCTTCATAAGGTATACCAGGTACGTAACAATTTTCGAAAGGGAATATGACTGTGACTGAAAGGTATGTCACTGTTTATGTGAGGGAATATCACTTGGAGTGAAAGGAAGGTCACTATTTATGTGTAGGAATGTCACTGTACGTGAAAGGTAGGTCACTATTTTGTCAGGAAATATCACTGTAAGTGACAGGAAGGTCACTATTTATTTGAAGAAATATCCCTGTAAGTGAAAGGTAGGTCACTATTTATGTAAGGGAATATCACTTGCAGTGAAAGGAAGTAACTATTTATGCAAAGGGATATCACTTAGAATGAAAGGTAAGCTGCTATTTATGTAGGGGAATATTACTTCGAGTGAAAGAAATGTCACTATTTTTGTAAGGGAATATCGCTTTTAGTGAAAGGTTGGTCACTATTTATGTAAGGGAATATCAGTATTAGTGAAAGGAAGATCACTATTTATGTGAAGGAATATATGTGAGGGAATATCAGTATGAGTGAAAGGAAGATCACTATTTATGTGAAGGAATATATGTAAGGGAATATAAGTATGAGTGAAAGGAAAGGATAGTTGCCTGTTATGTTCCACGTTATGTGATGACAATTTGTGATAATTTGAGTTCTTTTAGGGAACTGAATTAGTACGAATGACACATTTGGCCATATAGTAGATGTGGTCTGCTTACGTACAGGAGAATTACAGAGGCGTGGTCTTGATTCCACAGATCTTCTGGCGGGTGTAGGAGAACTTGACGTAGTCATAGTCGCAAGAGGAATGGTCCTCCAGTTGGAACAGCATGAATGTTATGTCAATTAGGCTCCCTGGTGGTGGTGAGGGAATGGTGTAGAGGCAGTCAAGGTTGCCAGAGTACGACGCTCCCGCTCCCGCTCCAGGGCTGCTGAAACTTCCCTCCGTACCAGATAGAGTTTGGGAACAGGCTGCAAGAGGTAGCACCTTCGTATGTATTCCATGCTGTTTATTAATGATGCTCTTTAAAAACGATGACAGGATGGAGTATAGATCAAAACAAACTCCAGACAGTGCATCATAGGAATTTGAGTAAACACCAATTATGAAGGACATCTGAGAGTATCGTACGAAATTATGATGTGGCGATTGTATTACAACACACTATACGTGTTATGACATATGTAAACACACACACACACACGCACGCACGCACGCACGCACACACACACACACACACACACACACACACACACACACACACACACACACACACACACACACACACACACACACACACACACACACACACACACTGTTGATTTAACAGCATAAACCTTTACCAGTCCTGACATATGAACGGCCATCGTTTTATGGCGAGCCTTCGAACAAGAAAACATTATGTAATATATGCGGAATGTACATATCAGTTAGGTTAACTTATATCCTGTCTATATTCCGTATGCTTTTAGAGAGACACCTTGTTTCGCCCAAATATGGTCCGGAGTGACACGTAATTTAAAACAGCAACAGGACGGTGTGATCTTCATGGTTCAACTTCGGAAACCACATGGTATTTTACATAATGACAAAACAGCGTAGTATATACAAGTATTGTATGAACATATTATAGTTACTTTATTTTGCGCAGAATAAAACGTGCTTGTGAAGGCAAAATAGAGTATCTTTTACTTACAGGTACTGTTATACGATTGAGTGGTAGTAGCCCAGTTCAGCCCTTGTGAAATAAAGAGAGGTATTTGTACATTCAACCTACATAACGTGTTTCTTGTCACTTGAAAACAAATAGAAACACCATTGTCATTCCGAGATGATTGCTCGAGTTCTGAATTATTATACAATGGGGGCGGTCGGGTAGCCTAGTGGTTAAAGCGTTCGCTTGTCACGCCGAAGACCCGGGTTCGAATCCCGACATGGGTACAATGTGTGAAGCCCATTTCTGGTGTCCCCCGCCGTGATATTGCTGGAATATTGCTAAAAGCGGCGTAAAACCAAACTCACTCACTCACTATTATACAATGTTACTTACAAGGATTATAGCTGGTAGAGGCCTGATGTGCAGTCGCTGGTGTTGGATCTTGGACAGTAAGAAGAAACATGTGATATTATTTTCCACTATACCTGTAAATGTTTGATGAACAACTGAAGAAAAAGGACAGTTACTGCAATGTATGTGAAATGCACATATCAGTTCGGTAACGTAACCTTTAACTTCAGCGTACCTAAAATAAGGACTGTGATGCAGGTTGTAGACAGCTGACATTTCGGTGAAAACGAGCACGCGTATGGTGCTGACAGACCAAGAATCATATACGAACCCAAGAACATATAATCATGCCTTCGCAGGAATCACCCGCCGTGTCCCGAAATGTAGACATGACTATCACATATAGTTCCTATAATTATACATTCTGTACGTTATGAAAGAACAAGTATAATAGAAGGGTGATGGAGTACACTCTTCAAAAACAGAAACGCACAGGTAGATATTTAGTAAATGTATTGTGCCTAATGAAGTTGACACGAGTTGTGTGCGGTGGAGCGTTGTCCTGTTGAAACATCTCCCTCTGGCGGTCAATGATTGGAAGAAGGTGTAGTTGAAGAATTTGACTCATGTAGCGATTTGCTGTCAAATTTCCCTGAACCACAACCAAGTCAGATCTCGTCGTCACAGCCGATCGGACTATCGCAATAGGACGAATCCAAAGAGGGGAGTCGCAGTCTTCTGTTGCACCCCACTTCAACATCTAAAACAGCACCATTTGCCGCCTTTGTGACCGATACACACAGTTCAATTCCACTGCAGACCGTCCGATAACCGGCCGACTAAGAGTTACCAACCCTGCACAGGATCGCTACATTCGACTGTTCCACCTACGTCATCGCAATGCCACAGCTACGGAGACCCTGGTTTGAGGAGGATATCGGACCAGACTATCAGGAACCATCTTCGTGAGGCTTGAATCCGACCCAAAAGACCAGTTATTGTCCCTGTTTTGCAACAGATCCATCGACAGCGACGCTTGCGTTGATGCCATACCTTACAGCCTTGGCATTTGAGAAACTGGAGACGAGTGTGACTAATCACGATTTCTCCTTCACCGGCGAGATGGAAGACAACGTGTTTATCGTCGTCGAAATGACCGTTTTGCCCCACATTGTGTACGTGAATTCGACAATTTCGGTGGCGGTAGTGTCATGGTGTGGGGGAGCAATATGACACATTATTGGCTTATGCTTGCCTTTTTATAGCAACTACCACGAGTTACGAAAGCCATAACTTGCACATGCATTTTGCTTTACTGTTTTCCTCCATGACATTTTTGAACAAGCGTGAAAACAATGCTGTTTAAGACATTGCAAATCGACAATGGCTGCTTTTTGACGCACCGTTTGGCGAATATCAGGCCACCAACATTTTCCTATATCATATATCCAATTCAAATTCCAGATTGTTTTGTGTAGTCGGGTTCAGTGAACTACATACTACCTGTGCGTTTTTTGAAGAGTGTAAGTAAATTTATCACCGCTTTGAGTGGAACATTTAGTCATTCGGGCCGCGTCAGCATAGTCTGGGAGAAGACTATCAAGGCATAGGTGTTTAAAATTTTGGTGAAACCCACGAACACGGTAATGGTGCTGACAAGAATCATATAATCAGTGCAGATCTAGGATTCGAAACCACATTAATGGGATTCTGGCATACCGCAGAGACGCATCTATACACAGCGAATTGCAGCACCTTAATAGATACGCAACCAAAAGCAAGCTTGTTATTCGTCATTCGTCTTTCGAATGTCGAAAGGCGAATTTTTTCCTCATTCTTCTTTAATCTCACAACAACAAAATACTTTCGCATGGCGAATGACGAATTTAAAACATTCGAATGACGAATAACAAATTATGTCGTCATTTGTCATTCAGCTTACACGATCACAATACAATCGAATGATGAATGAGAAATTAAAAATACCCATTCGAATAACGAATTATTTCGTCATTCGTCATTAGAATGTGTTTTAAAGTTATAAAAACATAATTCTTCACTCGCTCCAATGTATTTTTATGTTGTGAGTTGAATGACGAATAACATGCTTATTTCTGGTTGCCAAATTACAGGATCCTCTTTGTTCCACGATCCAGACTAGGAACCACTAAAAGCAGGTACTCATATGGCTTGAACCTCTCCTGCCTGCATTGGTTACAACAGGATTTGTTATTTTTGTCTTTGCCATATTCCAAACTTACACAACTCTCCACTCACAATTCAAGGAATGGGAAAAGCGTAACAAAATTATTTTGGCTTGCGTGACAGAATCATTTGTTGTAATTCGTTTATATGCCTAAGGATTTTTAAACGGATTGAAGGAAAGGCATATACTCACCTGTTGAAGCTTGTCATTTATTGCGCCGGGAAGATATTCTCTGTATTATCATGAAACAGATATAACAGTTAAACAGCATTCTTTCTACTAATTTAGAGCCGAATCAGTTACAAGTCTCAGGAAGTGTTAATTATAGGTCAAGAGAATTATAACTGCAGACTAATTAGAGATATTAGTTACAACTGATTATAGTGATAATTGTTTAGCATCGTGCTGACAACAACCGCTCAGAAAAACAACAAAATTACGCAATTATTCAACATTACGAAACGCCACGCCTGTTCGAAAATGAGCGTCTGCGAGCCATTGGTATGCTTAAAGGAGGATCGAGTCAACGTGATATTGCAAGACAATGTAACGTCCACAGAAACACCATTTGGTGTTTTGTGGCAACGTTGGCAACAGACGAATGCAGTCAGAGACCATCCTCGGAGTGGCAGGCCACGCGTAACCAATAAGCGACAAGACAACTGGATTCGAACAACACACCTACGAAATCGATTCCAACCAGTAACAGTGACTGCAAGAAGCATCCCTGGCCTTCGACTAATATCTTCACAAACCCTACGTCGTCGCCTCAGATGTGCAGGGATTGTCGCCAGAAGACCCGCCAGACGTCCCATTTTGACACGAAACCACCGTCCAGCACGTCTTCAGTGGTGTAGACAGCGTCTACACTTGACGGCCATGCAGTGGGGGCAAGTTCTATTCTCTGACGAGTCTCATTTCACCTCAGCCACAGCGATTGACAGACTGGAGTGTACCGACGTCGAGGTGAACGTTACGTCAATCATTGTGTCATGGAAGAAGATCGGTTCGGGGGCGTTAGCGTTATGGTATGGGGTGGGGTAACAGCAAGACAGAGGACCCGTTTGATAGTGGTAGAGGGAAATATCAATGGACAGCGCTACCGCGACGAGATCATCGGGCCTGTTTTTGCGTCATCATGGTCCATTCATTACCTTTCAACATGACAACGCACGGCCTCATATTGCTCGACTTGTTCAGGATTCTCAACAAAACAGCGTGAATGTCATCCCCTGGCCGGCTCGCTTCCCTGATCTCTCACCAATCGAGCACATGTGGGATGAGATGGATCGGCGCCTTCGACGTCAACCACGTGTTCCACAGACACACCAGGAACTTCGAAACATGCTCCAGCAGATATGGACAGATACCCCACAGGACTTTGTGCGACGCCTGGTCCATTCCATGAGACGAAGATGTGTTGCTTGCATCGCAACCAGAGGTGGACACACGGTATTGTGTTGTAATTTGACATTTTTGCATCTTCATGTTTTTTTATGAAATCAGGCATTTTCCGAAGTTAGTATGGCAAATTAAACAATTTGAACACTTACAGGAGTCTTTTATCTGTTGCAAACCGAAATTGTTTCAGATTTGGTAAAAAACTTAACTTTGCATTAAATCTTATTTAATGTCACAGGAACTTTTGCTGTTCAGTATATCTCCAAGTGACTGGCTGATTTACTTTAGAGATCTTCGTAATCCCTTACAGGGAACTGATAATAATGAGTTTGATCGTGTTGTGGGAGAGTTTCTGCTCTCTCATACATGTGATAATTGTAATGATTTACCCTTTTTGGATGAAGTCAGATGAGATCACTGAGAGAGAGGTCTTGTACGCTATCAATAATCTGAGTATGGGCAAGTCCGCAGGTGAAGATGGGATACCCCCTGAACTCTTTAAACTAACATCGGATCTCTTTGCACCCTAGTTGAAGTTATTGTTCAATAAGATTTTAGACATGGGTGTGTTTCAAGAATCTTGGAATATAAGTATGATTATTTCATTATATAAATCTTGGTCAGTTTGTGAACCAAGTAATTATAGAGGCATTTCACTACTAAAAGTTATAGGGATAATCTTTACGTCAATCATAGAAAAACGATTGCGAATATGGATGGAAGTAAATGATTTACTGTCCGAGTCTCGAGCAGGGTTCCGACCTACATGTATCTACTCTACTTTTGATAAATTGTTTATTTTACAAGCTCTTTGTTCTAAATATTTGTGCAAAACCAGAGGTCGCTTTTATTGTGTATTTATTGATTTTAAAAAAGCTTTTGACTGTTAATAGGAAAGAAATGATGTATTTACTTATTACTAAAGGATGTCATGGTAAAATGTCTGTACTTTTAAAAAACATGTATGCATCAGTCGGCGCATGTATAAAGGTCAATAATGAGCGTACGGAATGCTTTCCAACATCCTCCGGTGTACGACAAGGTTGTGTTTTAAGTCCGTTGTTGTTTATATTTTTCATAAATGAACTAGCATAGAGCTGCAAAATAGTTGCCAACATGGGATATTTGTATGACAAGAAATATTGGACATTATGCTCCTTCTCTTTGCTGATGATGTTGTATTTTTTTCCTATTCTGTAAATGGCTTTCAAAAACAGTTAAATGTGTTACAGAGTTACTGTTCAAAATGAAGTCTTTAAGTAAATCTGAATAAAACCAATGCTTTAGTTTTTAGAAAAGGTGGTATTGTTGCAAAACATGAAAAATAGTCACTTACTATAAATACTTAGGTCTTATGTTCTCCTCTAGATTGTCATGGTCTATGGCATGTAAGCAATTAGCTGTTCAGGCGTCGAAAGCCATAATGCCTCTTCATAATCTATTCAGGAAAAATAGTTGTGTGTCTTTTTTCACAGCATGTACCATTTTTGAAGGCAAAATTATGCCTATACTCTTGTATGGTTCTGAAATATGGGGTGCTAAGTATTATGCTGTAATTGAAAAAGTTCACACTTCATATTTCAAATGTTTTCTCGGTTTGGGTGAGTTTGCCTCAAACAAGGCAATCCTTGGTGAAACAGGCCGTAGTAATATTTTTGTAGCCAGCCAATTAAGGGTAATTAAGTATTGGATTAAATTACTTAGAATGATGCCTGATGCTCTGGACTGTCTATGTAACTTTGGGATGTTGTCAATCTGTTTATGTAGCCAAACTGCCCGTGTAAGTCTATGTAGCGTCATGTTTTAGCTATGGTGTTGTCAATCTGTCTATGTACCTTCATGGTGTAGCAAGTATGTCCTTGTCAATACAAGACGTAGTCAGTAAGTCTATGGTACGTCATGTTGTTGTCAATCTGTCTATCTAACGTCATGCTGTAGCCGTGGTGCAGTCAATATGTCAGCGTAATGTCATGCTGCAGTCAATCAGTCCACGTCACGTCATGTTATACTCAATCTATCTAGGTAACGTCATGTTGTAGTCAATCTGTCTATGTGGCGCCATATTGTAGTCAATCTAAATATGTTACGTCTTCTTGTTGTCAACCTATCTATGTAACGTCATGTTGTAGGCAATCTGTCTATGTAACGCCATGCTGCAGTCAATTCGTCCACGTCACGTCATGTTATACTCAATCTATCTAGGTAACGTCATGTTGTAGTCAATCTGTCTATGTGACGCCATGTTGTGGTCAAGTAGTCTATGTCACGTCAATCTGTAGTCAATCTGTCTATGTGACGCCATGTTGTGGTCAAGTAGTCTATGTCACGTCAATCTGTAGTCAATCTGTCTATGTGACGCCATGTTGTGGTCAAGTAGTCTATGTCACGTCAATCTGTAGTCAATCTGTCTATGTGACGCCATGTTGTGGTCAAGTAGTCTATGTCACGTCAATCTGTAGTCAATCTGTCTATGTGACGCCATGTTGTGGTCAAGTAGTCTATGTCACGTCAATCTGTAGTCAATCTGTCTATGTAACGCCATGATGTGGTCAATTAGTCTATGTCACGTGAATCTGTAGTCAATCTGTCTATGTAACGCCATGTTGTGGTCAAGTAGTCTATGTCACGTCAATCTGTAGTCAATCTGTCTATTTTCCATCTTGTTGCAGCAAATATGTCTATGTGACGTCATGTTGTAGCCAATTAGCCTATGTGACGCTATATTGTAATTAATATATCTATGTAACGCCATGCTGTAGCCAATTAGTCTATGTGACGTCATGTTGTAGCCAATAAGTTTATGTAACGCTATACTGTAGCCAGTATGTCTATCTAACGTCATGCTGTATTCAATCTGTCTGTGTAACGTCATGCTTTATTCAATCTGTCTGTGTAACGTCATGATGTATTCAATCCGTCTGTGTAACGTCATGCTTTATTCAATCTGTCTGTGTAACGTCATGCTGTATTCAATCTGTCTGTGTAACATCATGATGTAGCCAGTATGTCTGTGTAACGTCATATTGTAGCTAATCTGACCGCGTAACGTCATGCTGTCGTCCAGCTGTTAGTCAGTCTGTCTGTATAACGCAATGTTGTATCTAAACTGTCTATGTAACGACATGATGCAGCCAATATGTCTTTGTAACGTCATGTCAAAGTAAGTCTGTCTTTGTAACGCCATACAGTAGTCACTCTGTCCATGTGACGCCTTGGTATCACCAATCTGTCCATATAACGCCATGCTGTCAATGTAACGTCATGTTCTGACCGACCGCCTCCGTGTTCTCGTGATAGAGCATCTGACCGGAAGAACGGAAGGTCGGGATCCCCGGCCGCGTCATACCAAAAGAGATACAAAATGGTACTTGGTGTTGCCCTTGCATGGCGCTCGGCATGAAGGGACAAAAACAAGGACTGGTCGGCTAGGAGTCAGTATACTGAGTCTGAGTGAGGTAATAATGTTAAACTGCGGCATGGTATCTCAAGTGTGCTAGCACTATAAAATCAGCTTTAGTCAGGACAAGTACAAGCTGGAACATACACACATACACACACACACACACGTGAACGTCGCTGTATAAATGCAATAATCTTGAACGTGACGTTGAACCCCATTTCACCTCACCTCATCATGGAGCCAAGTATTCTATGTGACGTAACGTTGTAGCCAAGTAGTCGTTGTAACGTCATATTGTAGCCAAGTAGTCTACGTGACGTCATGATGTAGTCAGTACAATGTGTAATCCATGGTGCAGGTTATCTGTCTATGTAACGTCATGCTCTAGTCAGTACAATGTGTAATCCATGGTGCAGGTTATCTGTCTATGTAACGTCATGCTCTAGTCAGTACAATGTGTAATCCAAGGTGCAGGTTATCTGTCTATGTAACGTCATGCTCTAGTCAGTACAATGTGTAATCCAAGGTGCAGGTTATCTGTCTATGTAACGTCATGCTCTAGTCAGTACAATTGTGTAATCCATGGTGCAGGTTATCTGTCTATGTAACGTCATGCTCTAGTCAGTACAATGTGTAATCCAAGGTGCAGGTTATCTGTCTATGTAACGTCATGCTCTAGTCAGTACAATGTGTAATCCATGGTGCAGGTTATCTGTCTATGTAACGTCATTCTCTAGTCAGTACAATGTGTAATCCAAGGTGCAGGTTATCTGTCTATGTAACGTCATGCTCTAGTCAGTACAATTGTGTAATCCATGGTGCAGGTTATCTGTCTATGTAACGTCATGCTCTAGTCAGTACAATGTGTAATCCAAGGTGCGGGTTATCTGTCTATGTAACGTCATGCTCTAGTCAGTACAATTGTGTAATCCATGGTCCAGGTTATCTGTCTATGTAACGTCATGCTCTAGTCAGTATAATTATGTAATCCATGGTGCAGGTTATCTGTCTATGTAACGTCATGCTCTAGTCAGTACAATTGTGTAATCCAAGGTGCAGGTTATCTGTCTATGTAACGTCATGCTCTAGTCAGTACAATTATGTAATCCATGGTGCAGGTTATCTGTCTATGTAACGTCATGCTCTAGTCAGTACAATTGTGTAATCCATGGTCCAGGTTATCTGTCTATGTAACGTCATGCTCTAGTCAGTACAATTATGTAATCCATGGTGCAGGTTATCTGTCTATGTAACGTCATGCTCTAGTCAGTACAATTATGTAATCCAAGGTGCAGGTTATCTGTCTGTGTAACGTCATGCTCTAGTCAGTACAATGTGTAATCCATGGTCCAGGTTATCTGTCTATGTAACGTCATGCTCTAGTCAGTACAATTATGTAATCCAAGGTGCGGGTTATCTGTCTATGTAACGTCATGCTCTAGTCAGTACAATTGTGTAATCCATGGTCCAGGTTATCTGTCTATGTAACGTCATGCTCTAGTCAGTACAATTATGTAATCCAAGGTGCGGGTTATCTGTCTATGTAACGTCATGCTCTAGTCAGTACAATTATGTAATCCAAGGTGCAGGTTATCTGTCTATGTAACGTCATATTGTGGTCAATTTATCTATGTGACGCCATTGTAAAGTCAATATGTTTGTGTAACGTTTTGCTGGAACCAATCTGTCTGTATGTACATCAAGTCAATCTGTAAATTTAACGTCACGATGAATTAAATATCTGTTAGCGTTATGATACTATGTATTTACTGCTCATCCAATCGTATCATCCGATGTAATATCAGTTGCTGAGTTCAGAAGCAAGTTTATTTTGCAATATCTCGAGGCAACTGCCAACATCGATATCACCTCTAACTGCCATTAGGAATTGCATCTGATATACATACATGTACATATTTATCCACTTGTTCGCCACTTGATGACTTGTAGCCAAACAGAAGACAAGCAGCCTCAAGGAAAAGACAAGTTAGATATCGATGAAACAAAATACAATTATACCTTTTTATTGAAAGAGAATTCACGGTAAACGCCTTTTACTACAGTATATCAGTCATATGACGAAAGTTTTAAACTGTGCAACGACAGCAGTTATACCAATTTAGTTAAGCAGTGGAGTTAGTGAGTGAGTGAGTCTATGTATTCTATTAATATCACCGCGTGTTAGCCTAATGCGGGAGGAAAGCCCAATAATGTAGGTCTCATGCGTTTACTACTTTGGTGAAACTCACGAGTAAGGGCATAGGCTGACAAACCTAGAAACTGTTCGGGGCGAACTGGGATTCAGACCCACGAGCATAGGTTGCCCAAGGGACGCAAATCTGCACAGCGAATTGCGGTGCCTTAGTCGACTGTGCCACCCGTGCCCCCTGTATGGTGGTTAAGATTGCTTGGTGAATCTTACAGACGCTTTTAAAGTGTTGACACACCAATGATCAACATTACTGAACATAGTTGCTGTGTATCTGTCGTTTACAAGAAAATGATCAATGAGATAAATATAAATGAATAAATGAGAGTGTATTAAACGTGAAAGTACAAATCACGAAGGTGACTAGGTGACGTTTGTTGAAACATCACAGCTGTTATTTGATGGGAAAGCTGAACATAAAGCAGATACTAGTATATAAGGCGTTTACGATATGGTGAAACTCTCGAGATAATACTATGGCTGACGCACGGGTGTTGTTAACAGCGGGGTTGCGCTGTCAGTGACCACAAAGTAACTCTACTGATGTACCTACCAGCCTGAGACGGCGGTGAGGTTCAGCGTCACACATAAGCGCTAGACACAGCCCGGCCAGCACTGTGGCCACGCCCAAGTAGAAGGTCTTCATCCCCACGGGGAAAACGGGCACCTTGAATGAAGTGTAATGGACAACCCGCACTGAAAAAGAATAAATATATCATGTGTTTTTCATCTGTAACGATAACAAGTTTAGGGTAAGTAAAACTTAGACGATACAAATTATTTAACACCGGGTCCGGTTTTAGACAACCGTGGCAACAATATTTTGGATCTATGTGGATGGCTCAACATCCGCACCAGTACAGTCATAACAAAGCGCGTCCACCGAAATCTGGTATTAGATGATGGAACTGTGAAGTGGGCAACTCAAGTCTGAATGTTATGGTTCTATTCCAGGTATATTAGACAAGAGGCCGACTCACGGGAATTCTGTGAGTTTGGTGGGAAACACTTTTTTTAATAGAGTGTAAATTGGGTTTCGAAAGGTGTCTTGGTTTATCATCACCATACCCGTGCTCATAGGTTTCCCCAGTGTTATAAGTAAACCTCGATGACCTGCATCTCTTTAAACTTTTCTCCCATGCGCTTTTCTGCCGCAACTGAAATACTGCTGAAGGCGACATGAACCAAACTCACACACTCACCCCAGTTCATATTGACCGATTGATTGACCTGTGTTTCATAAAAAACTAACTAGGTATCACTTGTTGACATGTACCTTTAACATTACTTTTCGGATTAATCATCCGTTTTTAGATGTGGCGCGCGTATTTTCAATTACATACTCACAGATTTCCCGAACGGGGATTGAGGGTGACTGAGGATATGATTTTAGAATGATTCGAACGACATTTAAACACACATCGACACATATTACACATTTCGACCACTGGTTCCATTGGTCAAGATATGATAGTGTATGGCCCCTGCTTGGCCAATGTCCCCTCGGTTCAACGTTTTTAATGTTAAACCCCTGTACGTATAACGTTTTCATGAGCTATGGGAAAAGCATCTTTTTCGAGGCAAGGGCGTTAACTGACTATAAAAGTCCAGTTTCCATCCTTGCCGAACTAGGCTGGAATTCTGGAGCAAGATTTGGGCTGGACGACAAGTACATGCATAGTTCAAGCAAAATCGGGTAACGAAGTAGACATCCAGTTCGTAAACAACATGTATTTCAACGTGCAGATTGTGGTCGACTGCAGGATTTGCAAAACATGTGTACCGTCAACTGGGTGTCGACAGATATTTTTTCAAATCTGTTCATGTTTCAAATCAATACGCTGAAGTGACCCGTTTTATTACAACACAGAACTTGATTATCGATCAGATCGTCTTTACTGTTTGATCTGCTCACTTTTGTTTGGTGCAAACGCAAGTGACATGGGAGACGGAATTGGACCGCAGGAGGGACATAGAAGGGACATAACCCGTAATTATTACAACCACTGGTGGCGCTACGATCGAGTCTGGAAATTCCAGCCAAGTTCGACAAGGGTGGAAACTGGACTTTTTTGTCAGTTAACGCTCTTGTCTCGCGAAGATCGCCACCTGGCTAGTATTGTCAGTGTACAACTATGCCCATCTGCGGTTATGATAAGAAGAACAAAGGTTTCCTCTGACCAGTGCATAATTAGTTGATGAAGCCGTCTGGCATATCCCCAATCTACAATTCTGATTTTTGCAACTTCGCTTTCAATTTGCCTTGTCCACTATAAGGAGGCGAAACTATCAGTGGTCGCCCTTTAGCTGCAGGTGCGTTTTTGTAAGTTTATTAAACACACTTTATACGACACAAAATCATTTTGTGGACAGAATGTCTTCTGATGTTCAACTTATACGAAGCTTTGTGAAATAAGTTTTCATTTACGCGCCGTACACTGGACGTTTGTTACATCACAACCTGCTGGTTGCATGGCTGCCCCCGTGATGACCAGTACATGTATAACGCAGGAATTACACGATAACCAAACCTTTTGCAATTACAGTATTACAGTATCACATGCATTTTAGGTTATTCGTCATAAGAGCATATTGCACATCCCAGTCAATTTTTCAATTAGTGGATTTAGGAAGTTTCTAGACAACCTTTTACCGGCATATACACATATTTCAATTCTTAAACATGATATAAACTCATATTGGAGTTTGTTTATCCTTTGACAAAACATAAAGTACAACTAAGTCCTGACTTGACGTATTCTGATAATTGTGAGCTATGGAACATGTTTATTTATCATCAATAATACTGACACGGTCGACAAATATGCGGATGTAATAAAAAATTAATCTTTCAACAATCAGAAAGAAAACTCTGTATATTACTTTTAAATTGCTGAACAAATGATCATAGATGAAATTATTGAAGTTAATGTTTGTGTCCGTATTTCTGGTAAGACATAAGTAAGACATAAATAATGATGCCTGTCTGTCAAACCTGATAACTTGTGGACGTACGTAACTAACCATCACCCCTGACAGCTTTACTTTATTCAGAGCGTACTGATGCAGTTCACGTGGTCTTCCCTGACAGCTCTAACTACCAGCCTTTCCTTCTCTTGAAACGCTACTATAAGAAAGCACCATTCTCTTTTTAGACAATAATTGGACATATTTACACGAATATGAGAAGTTGCGTCCCAGCAAATAATGAGAAATAACCGACAGTAGCTTTCGTATGTGTGTGTATGTATGTGCGTGCGTGAATCGTTGTCAATGGAACTTGTCTCATAAATACTTCGCATGCAAGAACCACATTTATACATCATATGAACATTTCCAATACGTTAAGCATTATTTATAGGCGTTTACGATCACCAAAAAATGATATTTCTATTATCACAGAGAGCATCAGAGAGCAGAGTTTCGAACGTACATTTATTACAGAGTAAGTGTACACCAGACCTGAAACGAGGTGTTTATTCACCATAAATAATTATTATGTTGCGCTGCGCTGCATTCTACACGCAGTGTCTGGTAACCACGGGAATATCAGTGTATACAATTGTCAAGTATTAGTCATTCAGTTCATATTGTAGCAGGAGAAAAAGCACATGAGATCAAAAGAAATATGAAGGCAACAAGTGAAATGAGGTCATCCTAAATATTTCAGAGCTATAATCATGAGAAGGTTCCTCATGTAAAAAAGTCCAAAAGCATATGGAAATAAAAGAGTGATGTCAGACCGCTATCGATTCGGGAGACATACGCGTTATTGATGGTAGCTGACCTTCACCTTGGACTTTTCCTATGTACCGATAACTGAGTTAACTACAATCAGCAAGTGTTCTCACCACAACATTTTGGCTCAAAACATTGTACGGTTCCTCGTATAAATGTATTTTCCTACCTCACAAATCTGGCTTTGTTTTTTTAAGAGTATATATTATCCATCCTAGTGTGTGTATATGTTTAGTTGATTATATGAGGCAAAGGTTCCATGTATCAGTGTTATCTGTCATTGCATTCCACATGTACACACCACAGAAACAGAATCTATCACTTGAACATGGTATCCTAACATATGCCAGGCACTCAACATCCGAAAATCTCAACATATTTTGGACAAAAACCTGTTTATGAAAACTGTGGACAATAGTTAATGGTGTCATTCCTAAGTGAGACCATCCCTGTTGCGCGTCAATACAAGGCACGTACTTTACTGCAGCTCTGCTGCTGTAACGCTCGATATATCAAACTCATGCAGAGTCTCGGTAGTGAGTGAGTATGGTTTTACGCCGCTTTTAGCAATGTTCCAGCAATATCACGGCGGGGGACACCGGAAATGGGCTTCACACATTGTACCCATGTCGGGAATCGAACCCGGGTCTTCGGCGTGACGAGCGAAAGCTTTAACCACTAGGCTACCCGACCGCCCGGCAGAGTCTTGGGAAATATAATGATTTCAAGCAGAAGTCAGAAGAGAAATGTCGATGATTGTGTGATACCATTTAAGTCTAAAAGTGATCAACAAAATATTCTTATTTCATAATATCGTCCAACCAAAACAATTAGACATTATACGTACTTGATTATCTGAATATTGTATTTTTTCTTATTTCATAATATCGTCCAACCAAAACAATTAGACATTATACGTACTTGATTATCTGAATATTGTATTTTTTTAGAGGTCTTCATTGTAAACGATTCCAAACAAGTTAATTGGAATACAAACGTATCAAAACGCGTTTAAATGATCGGACAAGGATTAAACACTTTCTGCCGCGTAGTTAGCAGTTTATATGCCTTCTAGGGAGAGGATGTGCCCACCACTATTGTAAGGACCGAGATAACCTTAGATTATTAATTATCAACTAAGATAAAGACAAGGCTAAAGCTAAGAAAAAAATTGTCCCTTGATATCTCCACTCGTGCCAGTTGTAACATGACGGTTGCCATGAGCGGAATATTACGTACGTCTATCGCATACATTTGATAATATCTTTCCACAAGTCTCAAAAAATAAATCCATGAACTGATTGGCAATGTTATACATTAGGGAAACTTCCGAGACACGAACAAAGCAATATTTTAAGTTTCCTTGAGGAGCTGACACATCTAAAAGGTTGGTATATCTTCAGCCTCTACACGTTTTGTAGATCAAATAACGAACAACGTGGACAAGAATATAAACTGGTGACCTAGGCTATCAATGACGTGAATGTATCCATGCATAAAACAATGTATCTGCCAACCCGACAGTCGAGGTATTCACCTACCTTCGGCAACCAGACAAACAAAACAACAGCAGGCAGTTACATCTAGTAGTATGTTCGCTTCAAGGAGGGCTAAATTAAAAGACCCTCACAAGGATTTGTCAAGCGTAACCAAATAATGAGAAGATGTTCGAAAAAGCGAAACAATTTACTTCAAATAAAATCGCATGAACGAGTGTATGTTAAGATTTGTTTACAAGAACATCTGTAATGCCGTTGTGTCATCCGTATTGTGGGATAAACACTCTGTTGAACATTGTAGCTAACAAGGTCTGTAGGAGACTTATCTTGGATGCGGTTACCACAATAAATAACCTCCTTCCATCCAATATTAGGGGTACTTACCCGGTACAGAACACAGCCTACAGTTCTCCTCACCGATAAATGAAGGAACGCCCGGGTATTACCCCACACGTCACGTCTCGGGGCAGTGCTCCTCGTGTACTGGTCGGGTGCATGTTGACGTATTATCCGCGAACGAGGCTCCGGGTGAGCACAAAGAGACTACATGAGGCAGTGTCAAATGTTTCTACTTCACCTAACGTATTTCTAAATTGAACTATCATACCCTCGAAATACACCGAACCTGTAGTGACAACCTTGGTTAATTATACATTTAAATAGCTGGGCAACACATGTTCTACGGATTGGTATCTAAGACAAGTCAAAATACAAATATAAATACATCGTCATACATTTGTCTGTTAGATCTAATGGGATAAAATAAATGCTCATTTTGTTTAAATTATACAAGTTTGTATATGTTTAAAGTAATATGTGCATGTATTTATTTCTGTCAGAGAAAGTTATCTTCTTTTTATTAATATTTAAACGGTTAGTAGTTACTCTTCTTAATTACACAAAAGTCAATTATTCAGTACAGCCATGCCGTATTATATATATATATATATATATAAGAGAGAGAGAGAGAGAGAGAGAGAGAGAGAGAGAGAGAGAGAGAGAGAGAGAGAGAGAGAGAATGTTTATTTAAGTGTCACGTGCATATTATATGATAAAATACAAAATATACATTCATAGAATTATAAAAAGCACCCGGCCATATGGCCTATGAGACAGTATAATCTAAAATATCACAGAACAACAATAAGTTAAGAAAGTACAAATGACAAACAGTCCCCACATTCAATATATAATTAAAACATGAATTATACCAAAACCTGTGTTGAGAACAATCATACAACATAGATTCTCGCACAAACATGTATTCAGTCGAACGCATACACACACATACATACACGCATACACACACATACATACACGCATACACACACATACATACATACACGCATACACACACACAACATACACATATAGACACACACACACACACACACACACACACACACACACACACACACACACACACACACACACATGCATACATACATACATACTTACAAACATTACAGAAAATACGTTAACTACATAAATCATAAAAGAGTATTCCTTCTTCTGACCATGAGATGAATCTTAGAAGCAAGTAAGATTTGGCAATTAGGATTTTGAATTAAAAACACATACTTTTCTGTTGGGTTTTTATGTGTAAATTCATCGTCTACATTCAGGGCATACTTGAAGACATCGTACTTTATATCTGAGTACAGTGGGCAGGTGATGGTGAAATGGGTTCATCCTCGATTTCTAGGGGGCAGATAGGACAGATTCTGTCATGAAGTGGTATAGGCGGTTTAGAATATCTCTACACACAGAGGCAGACTGCAGGCTCTCAGTCGTATGAAGTCCTAAGATTATTTCCGTTTGTTAAATTTCCTTTATCGTCCCATAGGTCAGTAAACCACTTCTGTTCATCCTGAATGTTCAGCTGCTTGCGAATAAGTTGTACAGTGGATTGTTGTACGGTGTTCCAAATATATCTTCCGGTTGAGTGACCACTTATGTATCTTGTGCATAAGTCCTACTCTCATCCACAATCTGAAGACCTCAAGACGCTGTTTGGTTACACAAGAGGTCCAACCCATATCTCCTCTCGTAGCGATGTTCGAAGTTTTACAACTGGCTCCAAGGAAAAAACGACACGCTCTGTTTTGGACTGTGTTAAGGCATTTGTGTTCATAGAGTCCCCAAATACCTGCCCCATACGTCAGAATAGGCTGGATCAAAGAATTATAGAGGGCAGTAAATGCCTCATAGGCCATTCCACCTGCATCACAAAACTTGGTGAAAAGTGCACACAGAGCTCTGCCTGCCGATTTTGCCAACTGGTTGATCGCTGTCTTGAAGTCCGAATGTTCATGGAACCAGAGGCCGAGGTATTTGTAGGTATGTGTGTACTTCAATGTAATATCACCACATTTAAACGTTACTTTGGAACATTCTCGCTTGCCTGGTCTGAAGTGAACGATTTGAGACTTCTCACCATTAAGCTCCAATCTCCACTTAAAACACCATTCATGAACTTTGTCGAGCATCATTTGTAAATATTCTTCTGTCGGTGCAAGTAACACTATGTCGTCTGCATAGAGAAGAATACATATATTCGCATCCTTGACATCAACACCACAGTTCAAGTTCTTAATACTGCGAGCAAGGTCATCAATATAAATGGCAAAAAGGGTTGGTGAGAGAAGGCATCCTTGCTTAACGCCATTTGGTACTTTAAACCATGGAGTTAAAGAGTCGTTTACCTGAACAGCACAAGTGACCCCTTCGTATAGAGATTGAATTGCTTTCAACATTGGTCCTCCGATACCTGACATTTTCAATTTATACCATAAGCAGTCTCTGTTTACGTTGTCAAACGCTTTTTTCATGTCGATGAAACAGGCGAAAGTAGATTGGTCAGAGCATCTCCTGTTGTTGAGAATTTCATACAGGCTGTATATATGGTCCATGCAGCTACGTTGTTTCCTGAAGCCATTTTGCTCCTCAGCTAATAAGTGATGATCTTCGATGAAGGCTGATAATCTGTGGTTTAAAATGTCACAATATACCTTGCACGGGACTGAAATCAAGCAAATACCTCTGTATGTTAGTGGTTGCCGAACATCAGTGGTGCCGGGTTTAACGATAGGGTTGATAATTCCAGATTTCCAAGACTCAGGAACACATCCGCTCTCGAAACAGTATTCGATCAACCTATGGAGAATGTCAATACAAACATCGTTCTTAATTGCTTCAGCTGGTATAGAGTCAATGCCTGCAGCTTTTTTTAGTTTACAACGGAAAACAGCAGCCTTGACTTCATCCCGAGTGATCTCACGGTTGATGGTTGTTATGTCATCACGGACCGTTGTGACGTCATCCGTCGTCAAAGAGTTACGCACAAACGACAGGTGTGTATCATCAAAGGACATTGTGTTGGTATTGTCGTTGTAGAGCTCTTCGTAGTCATCTCTCCATCTTTTCGTGACGAGTTCAGGGTCGGTGATTACGGTACCATCATCGTTGGCAACTTCCATGGGAATACGGACTTTGCGATCGTTTCCAATTCCAATTTTACCAAAGGATTTCCAAAATACTGAGGAATTACAATGCTGTAGTTGCTCCAGTAAAACACTCTGTTCTTTTAGCTGGTATGATTTTTTAACCTTTCTATGCAACTTGTCAAAGTGGGTTCTCTGACTACAGTATAGTCTACGTAGGTTCCGTTTCTGTCCCTGGTTGTTAGCTCGTCGCCACTGACGTTCCAATTGACACACTTTATTCCACTGGAGTTGTAACTCCTGATTCCAATACGGTTTACCGGTGCGTTTGTGTCTTTTGGTAGCATTAGGTGATTTCGAGTTCGTGGAGCAGAAAAAATCAAGACTCTTGGTAATAAGAGACACAAATTCATCGTATGCTGAGTTGATATCTCTCTGTGTAGAAAGACTATCTTCTATACGCTGTATGGCAGCCACAACAGCCTCGGAGTTCCCATCCTGTAGAAAAACACCCTGTAGAACGGTAACGCTATTTTTCAGGGCATTATCATTTGCAGAAGCCCGATGTCTTCAATTAACTGCCCAACGAAGCAATGATTATACAAACAACAAAGTTAATTATCTGGAAAGCATGGTCAGCCGTAAATCTTTTCAAAATTAACTTTGATGGCATTCCCAAAGACATAAACAAAAGTATGAACGTTACTTCATTTGGGGTTAGAGGCAAATTTAAAGATTCTTGTAATGGCCGCTCCCACACTGGTGGCAGCGATGTTACCGAGAGTGTAACGAAGGTGTCACGCTTGAAAGGGGCTTGCAAGTTACAGTGGCCCGCTCATTTCTGATAACATGCAGGCGGTTTAATGATAATTCTACCCATTTTAGCTATAATATCGTATATAACGATTCACGTGGATCAAGTGTGTTGGCGTCATATAGAGAGTCGAATGAAACTGTTTTACAAGAACCCGAGTTATCAAACTTAGTTGTGTGTCTTACGACCAGACACCTACTTGTCTACATCACAACTTGCTGTCTTGGTCCACGATCATCAAATTATATCTGAAACGTGATGTAGTTTAGTTATCAGGAATCAAAAGATCATTACAGATGAACTCGCCTGAGACCAAACGAAAGTGCATTGTATAAGTTACCCCGAGACTACACAGACGTCGTCGACTCCATAAAAGATACTGAACATCTGCCTTGTGAATGAATGTCTACACATTCCGTCGGCAGAATGATGCATCAAACATCGGCTAATTTCGTCAACGTAATGTCAGGCTAAGTAATTTACTTTTTCCGAAAAAGTCATACTTGGAATACGAAACAGTTAAACTTTGTAACTATTTTAATGTGACATTTGTTGTGTTATGCACCCGTGAATTCCCCCTGCAAAACCGTTTTGAGATTTACAACAGAAACAATAACGTTGTCACAGACGAAATGGTACTATGGAGATTTTTATTCCTCGTGAACAGTTAATAGAACGACGTAACATTACGAAGATGTGTTCAGTTTACCTGCTGCATATTGAGAGACAAGTAAACTTCAGCTAACCATGCTTGCCGTAAAAGGCGACTATGCTTGTCGTAAGAGGCGACTAACGGGATCGGGGGGTTGTCAGGCTCGCTGACTTGGTTGATGCATATCATCGTATCCCAATTGCGTGGGATGCAGCCCAGACAGCGAAGAGCTGCCTCGTCGAACCCTCTCAGAACTTTTCGGAGAATGTGAAGACTCAGACCAATTATTAACAAATCGAGAGAGATGTATTCGCAATTGCTTTATTCTTTCATGTGGGTTATACTTACCAAGTAATATTATGTCCTATTCAAATTCATTGTATGTAAAACTCGCACTTCCCTTGGGTAGGACCATGAGGACCAGTATACACAACTCTGTTGCCCGTTTTTATGTTGTTTTGTGCTGTTGTGTGATATTTTTCTCTCCCAAATATTCTAAAATTAGTTTTAAAAATAATTATGTGGTAATAGTGTGCTGTTCATCGCTGACAACTTTAAATATAATATTATTAATATACGGTATATTTTTCTGGCTAAAACACTGCTAATGTGACTTTTAGCCT